AAATGAGCTCAGATCTGTCTCGATCGCCTTCGAACCGTTGCTGAACCGCGAGAACACCTGCAAGAACTCAACGCTGGAGGGGTTTCCGGCGTAGAGCCTTCGACGCTCAAGTCAGTACGTGAAAGAGATGGAGAGAGCTGCTCTCAGAGAGCAGCAGCAGTAATGGAGAAAAGTATGAATGAATGGGAGTTAGGGTTTTAGAGTTACATCAGCTCCTTTATATAAAAGCAAAACATTTACCTGATGTTCCGAAAACGCCCTGGCCGACTTACTGGAAATGTCCAAATTACCCTGGTCGGTTCGCATTCCGTCCATCTCCTCGTCAGCATCTAGATTCCTTCTTATCCTTAATGACTTCCTTCTTATCCTGGGCAGCTTCTCTATGACATGTTGAAGTATAATGGAGTCGTCGAGGGCCCACGAATCTCGAGGCGTACTAAGTCCACTCGGTGTTTTACAACCGAGTCGACTGGGTCATCTTCAATCATCAACAGCCCCTGATGCACCTCTCCATCTGTCCGGAGGGAGTCGACTCCTGCTAGTCGACATGTGGAAGTCGACTGAGAGATAGAGAGGCGCCTGGACCCTGATGGACCGGGGATATTACCAGTCTGCAAGGGGGGTCGCCTCCGGTTAAGTCGACTAAACAATGTCTGAACCGTTATACGACAGTATGGCTATATCATCTACCATGGTGATACGTTTTATTGTGTGTATGCAAAGATATCAATTACCAAATAAGAAGTGAAAATGCTTCTTAAATTGTGGATGTTAATTGGATATCCGATTTAAATTATAAAAAATATAAATAGTATGTTTATATACCCTAAATATTAGGATGTTGGTTCAATATGGAATAGAAAAATACTGAATTTGAAATTCAAACGATTTTATTTTGTAAATTATTTTGTACACAGTATCGATTATTTTCTGTATATTAACCAAATATGTTCTTCTACATACTAGATTACAAAATTATTTTTTTGCTCAACAAAAAATTTAGTTCTTGTTTTTTAAATGCAAATGATATTTATTTTGTGAATTATTTTGTAAAGTGTATCGATTAATTTCCTGTATATTAACCGTATATGTTATGTATACATATTAGATTATAAATTTATTTTCTTGCTCAACAAAAATTCAGTTCTTGTTTTATAATCCGTAACTATGTATATAAACCAGTGTTCTAAAAGTCGCTAGGCGTCCGCTAGGCGCTCGACCAGCGCCTAGCGCCTAGAGCGCCTAGACGGGGCCTAGGCGGTGCCTAGAAATCAATATTAAATACCTTATTTTTTATTTAGTTTGACTACCTACAAAA